GATAGTTAAAAAGAATATACGGAACTAGGCACAGATGCAGAGAGTTAGACAAATAGATTGGCAGATTAGGTAGAAAACATTGGTTTTACAAAAGTCACGTCCAGATTTATATGCAGATAGCTAGACAATTCGACAAATAAGGATAAAGCAGATTAACTTCATATTCATATTCATATGGTCAGATTAAAAAACAAAAAACAGAGATAGGTTGTTTGGCAAATGAGGAAATCGAAAATCGAAATCTAATGCAAAGGATAAAAGAACCTCTTATGTCAAATATATAAATCATGATACAGCGCCGACATCATTCAAACGTTTTAAAGTCATCCTAGACAATCAATACTTAAATGTCAAATAGAAACAAAACCGCCGGAGGTAACTCAGGGTCCAGGGCAGAGTCTGGCTAATGGAACCAGGACTAGAATTCCTCTGCACTCACCATAATCGTCGTGCAGGTGAGATGGAGTCCGGTTAAATCCCTCCGCCTCACTATAGGGTCGTCCACAGGGGCTTCTAAGATACCGAAAGCCGTCGCCTTCACTTCCACTCGGACGCCTTCAGGGATAAGACCTAGTTCCTCGCGAGATGAGTACGGGTCTGATAACCCATCTCCATGATTCGCGTGAGATGAGTATGCCCCTGGTGACTCATCTGAAGACCTGGTGACGCTTCCTTCGGCGATTCTTGAGATATGAGGCTGATTTCTCCCCCTCTCTGGTGACTCATCTAAAGGCCCCGTGGATTCCCCTTCGTCGGTGAGTCGTGAGTCGTTATGAGTCGCCTTTTTATTGCAAGAGGAACAGGTCCAGCCCCCTACGAGCGTGATGCGTTGTTCCAGTTTTTCGTTGATTTGATAAGCTTCCCATAATGTAACGGATTGTGTCTCGGTATTTAAGACTGCGAGAGTGATCTGTCGGCGGAGTTCTCTGATTACTTATATATGAAGAAAGGTAAATAAAAGGCATGGGAGAGAAGAAGATGAGGGAGAAGACGAGGAGAGGGTCGAAAAAATGAAAGATTAGGAAGATATTAATAGAATGGAAGAAAGAAATGAAAAAGCTGAAAGACAAAAAGATAAAGGTTTCCTGCGATTAGTTTTCTCCATTTTGAAGGTAAATGGATAAATTAATAGATAATAAAAGAAACATGGCTAAGATTATACATATTGTATGTGAAACAATAACTTTGATATCTAGATTACTTTAGTATATATATATATATATATATATATATATATATATATATAATAATAATAATAATAGAACTTCCAGGTGGGAAGCGGAGCAGTATAATAAATCTCAGCACTACCGCTGCCAGAAATAACATCTTTAGGGTTGAACAAATAAGCGTTGATTTTCTTTGCTTTAATAGTAGAACTCGAACGTTTCGGGTTTACTTCACCCATCATCAGTGAAACATTACTGTAAAACAATAACATCACAGATATAAATAAAGTTATGTCAACAATGGTAACTCAATGAATCAATACCAATAGTATTTAAAGTTACAGTAAATATTAAATTGACATTTACATGTAGAATTAACTTATTTGGAACATGTTAAACAATGACAATATCAAGAACATAAACTGAATCAAAACAATGAATTCTTCATATTACATTAAATTAGAATTAATACATAATATGAATTTTAAACATTAATAATACAAATGAAATAGAGCACATTGACTAGAAAAGTCATATCACACATTTTTTTTTTCTTTTCATACAATTCTATTGTACATAGTCAAAATATTATTTATGACAACAATGAGACAATACCAATATAGAGTTAAATTGATAATGACCTTGATTCATTATGAAAAAGGGAGGACATAAAATGATTTGGACCCAAGCGTCATCCCAGTGGAAGCCGGTTGCAATTATTTGGAAATTACAATCAAAATCAAACTAATATTAACCCTTAATTAAGTTTAAATGAAAGTCTAACACTTATACTAT